CACCCCCCCCCTCCCTCCGCCACTTACTCCAAACCAAAACTCAGAATACGCATACTGGCCTAATTGTCCCTCCCCAACGTCTCTTTGCACTCTTGGCTTAGCCACACTGGCCTGGCTGGTCCTGAATCAGACTTCCACATATGGCTGGTGTCACTGCCAGAATTCCGTTCCTGCTGCCATGACATCTGATCCCATTTTCCTTAGGACTGCATTCAAAGGCAAAGGCTTCTCATAGAATTTCACCTTGCTCATGAGCTATCATGGTTTAAAGATAGAGGAGTCCTAAAGCAGTGATTGCAAACGGTAAAGATGATCTGTGTCCTCCATACTTAGGACTTGGTCATCCATCACCTTCAACGTAAGAAAGGGAGTCTGTATTAGATTGGAACCTACCCTAACCACCGCCTTTTCGCTCAATATTTGTACAAACGAAGATAGGATATGCACCTCCACGTGCAAGTGTGAAAGTAGGGTTTCAGCATATATCCCTGGGCAGGGTTATCCCCAACTTCTCTCTCCCCCTTTTTCCTCTTGGAATCATTTACTGTCATCTGATATCTTACAAGTCAGATCTTCACTGTCTGTTTTATCCCAGCCTAAAGACAATGTTGCTTAGGAAATATTCCACCCCTACGTTTGTTTCTTGGTCCTTCTGTGGTTAGGTGGGGCTACACAGTCAATTATAGATAGTAGCATATAAGCAAGCGTATGGCTTCCCCTCCCAGCCCAGAGCCTTTCAGAGACAGTTTGTGGCACAAAACTGCCCCCCCCTGCCACACCAACCAGCGTTGTTTCAGCTGGCATCTGTGGGGGCCTTGTGGAGGAGCACTCTCCACTAACCACAGCCGGGCATGAATGTGGGAAAGGATGGGCTCTAGACTGTCACCACTAGTGTCCCACTGACACCAAGGGGCTGATTGATGATGATGTAAGACTTGGAGAGGAGGTCCTTGTCATGGCTTCCCACTGGACTCCAGAAACGCTAGAGACCAGTATCTCTCCATCCCCTTTTGATGGACACGAAAGTCCTTATCCCATTCCCCATGTCAGGCACTTACCTCTGAGCAAATGCCTGGGAGAAACAGGGTGTTTGTTTAATCTTTTTTGGGGGGGAGGGGAGCTCATAGTTTCAAAGGTTTCTGGACGTTTTTGGCTGGCTGCATCATTTTTGGAGCTTGCACTGCAAAACTGGTGAGGTACAGAACTAAGTATGCTACTTGCTTCACATCAGCTAAGAAATAGAGATGCAGACAGGAAGGGGCCAGGGACAGTATTGACCTAAGGACAGCCCTACCTCCTCCAACTGGGTCCCACTTCCCCGTGATGGCCCAGCCTGGCTCCATCTTGAGATTAAAAGCTATCTTGTTACAAGGTCAAATAAGTTCATTCCTGCTTTCTGTAAAACTTGGATTTGACCTGGTCTTGACCGGTTCTGGAATTCGACATGTTACGTACCCTATCTCCTGACCCCCACCCTGATAAGATACTCTGCCAAATAGTTTTGAGGTGTTCCTCCACGTTCCTATGTAACCAAAAATCGGTGAAAAACCCTCAGCTTTGAAATTTTGGGGCTAATATAAACCCCACTTTCTCCTGTGTTTGATGCTAAACCTCACTTTCAGAGAGATAGCCCTGTCTGATAGATAGTAAATCTTGCATAATCTGACCAAAGAATTTGGGTAATGGTCTCTCCTATCGTTCAGTGGGATGAACACTTAAGGTTTTCAATACCATCAGCATCAATACCACCGTCAGGGACCCGAACGTGTGAAGTCTACTGGATCTTTAGGTTTAAAGCACACCCGTTATCTTCATGTACTGTGTGTATGAGGGTAAATAATTCTATCTACTTGCTGGGGATATGTAAGTTATAACTTACATACACACACACACATAATTCAGTTTTTATTTTATATTCATGTGTCTGCCTCATGTATGTCTGTGTGCCACGTGTATGCCTGGTACCCACAGAAGCCAGAAGAGGGCATCGGATCCTCTGGGATTGGAATCACAGACAGTTGTGAGCTGCCATGTGGGTACCAGGAATAAATCCCAGGTCCTCTGGAGAGTTTACTGCTGAGCCTCTCTCCAGCCCAAGTTTCATGATTTTGATGTGTATTTGCTGGACAGTGCGGTTCACAGGGCTTAGCACCCAAGTTCTGTGGATGACATCACAGAACCCAAGAAGGTTCTGAAATTCTTCGTGTAGTCTTCAACGATGCTGGCCACTCTGTGGCTAGCTAGTCTTTCTCTTCCCATGCTGTGGGCCCAGAAACTAATCAACTGTCCCTACAAGAATGTGTGCCACTACGCCCTGCTGTCGGGCAATGACGTCATCCTGCAGTGTAACCACCCGAAAGCACTATGGTATTTTTCTTCTTCCATGGAGGACAAACTGTCCCTGCTCAATTCCATGTCCAATGTGAAGATACTGCCCCGGAGCAACCTGCAGTTAACTAACCCTCAGCCCTCGCAGACGGGGCTCTACCGCTGCCTGGATGATCACAAGACCCGTGTGGTGGAATATGAGATTGACTTTCAGGATATAGCCCTGCTGCATGTCACTCATAAAGACCTGGGCCAAACTCCCATGGAAAACGAGACCATGGACCTAGGAGGCGAAGTAGTCGTCTTTACCCGTTGGGATCCTTGGCAAGACTGTAACCGATGCGAAAAGCCAGGTGAGCGCAAACGTCTAGGCTACTGCTATGTGGAGGAGCAGCTAGGAAAATCCATGCCCTGCTGGCTCTACATGCGTGAGAAGGTGACCCACAAACGCCTGCGCCCTGAGCTCCAGCTGCAAGCCTGCCAGGTGCCCTGTGACACCATCACAGAAACCAACCAGCCGTACAGTCCCTTTGACACTCATCAGCTGGACAAAACCAACGACCACGTGTGGCTCAGCTGTCCCTTGGCTTCCATCTACAGGTAACTGGAGCAGGGCCACCAGCCCTTCTTTTGCCCCCCCCCTCAGTCCTGGTCCCCTGGGGCTATCTGCTGCTAGGTTTCTCCATCCACCGCACCCAGAAGCCTTCATGGTTGGTGAGTTACTGGTTTACTTAGATGTTTTCACACCAGAAATCTCTTCTGCACTGGGATCTAGGCAAGAGATGCTGAGGAAGGTGGTGACTTAAAAAGACCTCTTCCCCGCCCACACAGGCAACCTGGAGCCAGAGTCTCAGGCCCAGGCTCAACCAGTGTAAACATGGATGTGGGCCCTGTCTGCTGACTGGGCCCTTTGGGGGGTGGTTTGTCCCTCTGTCCTTACACCAGTGCCATGTGTCTTAGTGTAGGGGTCTGAGAAGACACTGAAGGAAGACCTCAGACTCAAAGAGTATGCAAGAGCAAAGAGCATTTAGCAGCAAATGTGTGGTCCTTCACCTGAACAAAATGGCGACGACCCCCAGAGGATGGTGCTAGGGGAATTTTAGGAGCGGTTAGATCATCTCAAACATAATTGGATTAGCAATCGGCAGTTACTCCAGTATACTTTTAATTGGCTGAGGTTTTATCTTTGGACATACTTGGGTAGGTTTCAAGAGGGTTACAGGAACTGTCCTTGAGACCCTGTGGGGCTGACTCATGCCTTGCTTGTGCTCGCTCCCTCGTCCCTAAATGTAACTTGTTGATAAATGGCCCTTTGTTGGGAGAGACACCTGTTTGCCCCTCTAAAAGAACTGAAACCTAAATTCAGTTGTAGAAATGTGAAAGTTTAACCCCTTCATTAGATCTTTCTCTGTATTTTTATTTTTTGAGACAGGGTCTCACTATGTAGCTTTGGCTGGCCTTGAACTCACAAGAGGTCTCCCTGCCTCTTCCTCCTGAATGTTGGCATGAAAAGCATACACCACCACACCTGACACATATTCGTTTCTTCCTTTGCCAATATTTTTGTTTGTTTGTTTTGGGAGACGGGGTTTCTCTGTGTAGCTTTGGAGCCTGTCCTGCACTCACTCTGGAGACCAGGTGGCCCCGAACTCACAGAGATCCTCCTGCCTCTGCCTCCTCAGTGCTGGAACTAAAGGCGTGCGCCACCACTGCTTGGCTCTCTGCCACTATTTTATGTAAGTAGACAAAAGGTTATGATATAATGTAATGGTTATTAGACAAAGAAATGTCAACAGTTGTAGATATTGCATACAAAAACTATTGGTAAAAACATAGATTTAACAGGACAGCTAGAGCTATGTAGTGAGGCCCTAGTTCAAAAAAAGTTAATATACAAATAAAAGCCAAAAACCAAACAAGTAAAACAAAACAAACAAAACCCCCAAACCTAGACTTAAGAGAATGTTCTGGAAGACAGCTCATCAGAGGTTCCCTAGTGACTGTCCTTGGTTATTACAGTTGTGGATGGTATTTTGGTTCCTTTTAATTGTTTCTGTTTTAAACCCTCTTAAGAATCACATAGTTACTTTATTTTTTCAATGTAAGATTTATTTTCATTTTATGTGTATGGATGTTTTACAATGCATGTATTTATGTGCACTCCATGTGTGCAGTGCTCGCAGAGGCCAGAAGAGGGCAATGGATTGCCTGGAACTGGGCTGGGAATTGAACCTGGGTCCTCTGGAAGAGCAGCCAGTGCTTTTAATGGCTCTGCAACCTCTCTAGCCCTTAAATCAGTGCTTCTCAACCTTCCTAACACTTGGACCCTTTAATGCAATTCCTCATGTTGTGGCGACCCCCCTCCTCCAACCATAAACTTATTTTTGTTGCTATTTCATAACTGTAATTTTGCCACTGAGTGGTGTCTCAGTTCCTAAGACTATCAGAAGTATGTTTTCCGATGGTCACAAGCCATACGTTGAGAACCACTGCCCTAAGTGATGGTTCCTCTGTAATGAAAATGTTGGCTTCAGGCGTGTGAAGTTGAAAGGTCCCTCTCCACTTGGCTTTCTGGGTCATCGTCTGTTGTTAGTCGCACGCCTTCCCAGTGGGCGCTCATTTTGCAGCCTGCAGCTTTTCCTCCTCTTCATTCTGTCAGAATGGTGGTGGTTCAAGAATGAGAAATGCTAGCCGGGCGTCGGTGGCGCACGCCTTTAATCCCAGCACTCGGGAGGCAGAGGCAGGCGGATCTCTGTGAGTTCAAGGCCAGCCTGGTCTATAAAGCGAGTGCCAGGACAGCCTCCAAACTAAAAAAAAAAAAAAAAAAAAAAAAAAAAAAAAAAAAAAGAGAGAGAGAAATGCTGTAACTCTTGGTCCCCAGTTGGTGGCACTGTTTGGACAGGTTACAGGGAGGGGCAGTCTTGCAAGTACATCACTGGGGGGGAGAGGCTTTGAGAGTTTAAGGCCTCACTCCACTCCAGTTTATTTTCTGCTTTGGAATGGGGACGACCTGGTTTAAAAATCTGATCTCTCAGCTTCTTGCTCTTGCTGTTACGCTTCCCCTCTGTTGTAATTTTAAAAAGCCGGCTCAAGAAAGGAACTTATAAGAATTCTTTGTGGAAAGATAAATTTTAAATACATTAGCATTTTTACTGTTGAATAAATTGTCCTGAAATTTGCGTTGTAGAAACTGCTGGGCGTTGGTGGCGCACACCTTTAATCCCAGCACTCGGGAGGCAGAGACAGGCAGATCTCTGTGAGTTCGAGGCCAGTCTGGTCTACAGAGCTAGTTCCAGGACAGCCTCCAAAGCTACACAAACAAACCCTGTCTCGAAAAACCACAAAAAAAAAAAAAAAGAAAGAAAAAGAAAAGAAAGAAAGAAACGGCAGTATACTCATGTCAGAAATGATTTTGGTTGAAAGCATTAACACTCTTCCTTCCATCTGGAAAACTGGCAGATATTTTTTTGCACAATGAAAGGCACCTTAACCTTGAGCTTGCAGTTATGATCTTATGGTGGTATAGTTTGGTGTTTTTACCCTGTCAGAGTTGGAGTCACAGCTTATCAGAACTTTATTGATGAACAGCACCATAATGAGAGAGAGAGAAATCTGATGAATTTGTACACCTTAAGTTACTATGTTATACCTTAAAACATTTTTAGATGCAAATACTAGGCGAGGACGTTCAAAAGGCCAGAGGCTGTTTCCCGTAGGAGCGGTCATCATTCTTGCAACATTCTAA